GATGATGATGATGGTGAGTGATTAGGCACAGTCAAAACAAATGACTGGATAGCTGCCTCGTATAGTGCAATATTTACTATTACGAAACAGAGGACCGATGGTGCTAGAGAAAAACTACCGCAAACAGGAAATCCGGTGTGCATTCAGCTACTGATCAGAACTCGCAGTACTCTAGCTATACGGGGTCAATATTTTGACGAACACTACGACCTATCCAATTTAATGGCAAATAACGAAGCTATCGTACGAACACATAGCTATGTCACCTGTGCTAGTGTGGCTGGAGATCACATGAAGCCGAAGGCACGCAACTGCACCACAGAGCCACGTAAATGGATGGTAAGCCATAAATGACAACAGTATGGGCTATCCGAGGCACAAATAGCGAAATATGGCAGTGTGCCAGTAAACTGTCTGACTGCGAATCGTCATTGGTTTTACCTTCGGATATGGTAGCAGTGTCATCTTGAAAATGACTAGGTTAGGAAAACTTCCATAACTGCCTAAAGCGTATTGTTATGAGCATATGTCACAAACATTCTTTCAGGAACTCACTCTGCCAGTCTAGCTCCAAGTTTGAGACAATGGTGAACTTTGCAGGAATCACACCAATCTTCGGAAGGAGGTCCATATTCCTGTTGAAGACGCCGTGCGCGCACCTTCGACAACAAATCTTTGGTTGGAACCCAGGATACTGGGCGTTCAAGATGACATGACGCGTCCCGAAGGCAAGCTAAATCGTCTAATCGTGTTGACCGCTGTACAAACGAACGTATCAACGTCCTGCATTCCAGGCAGGTCCCGCGTACCAGTTTTTCATCACCTTCAGGATCTCTGAGGCAAAATCTACAAGCCGAAATGATCACCGCAGAACCTGGAGCAGCTGATTGTTCGATAGTCACAAGGGCATCACTGTCACGCGGAGCTATAGAACAAAATAAACGGAGGCCGGAAAACGTTGAATAGTCTTCAAGGCAACGAAGCGACGGTCATCACGGACCAAATGAGAACAAAAATGCAAATTCCTTGTGTCAACATCGTAGGTACCAACCACGTATACTCTCGTCATTCTTGTCATTGGCTGTGTACCACACGAACACTAAATAGTCAGTTCCCAAGACACCACAAATTTCATTATTGTACGGGAATTTGCTGCTCTACAATTTTCTCCAGCTTTCTAACTACTTGTCCAAAATGAAGTAGCATACACAATCGAGCAAACACAACGGTCAAAACAAACACCTTGTGCGTTAGCAATTGATTTTCTGTTGTCGGTTGGCTGTCCTGGCTCAGACACTTGGCCTACACTGGATTGAACAGGTGGATGGGCTATGACTGCTCGTAAACAACTGGAGCATGTAGATCCTGTGTCTCAGGTACTGTATAGACCACATGTGAGGTGCACCGTCTCCTAAGTCTTGCCGTTTTTGAAACACCATTCTCTAAGTTTCCCCTAGGAGAAACCAAATCTTTCGGTATGCAAGTAACCTTTTTAAT